GACTACAACATCATCCTTTCCACCTTCTACATCTCCTACATCCTCTTCGAGATCCCCGCCACCGTCCTCTGCAAGTGGATTGGCCCCGGCTGGTTCCTCCCCGCCACCTCCCTCGCCTTCGGCATCGTCTCCATCGCCACCGCCTTCTGCGAGTCCCGCGCCGCCATCTGCGGCGTCCGCTTCCTTCTCGGCATCTTCGAGGCCGGCATGCTCCCCGGCATCGCCTACTACCTCTCCCGCTGGTACCAGCGTGCCGAGCTCACCTTCCGCCTGTCGCTGTACATGGTCATGGCCCCGCTGGCCGGCGCGTTCGGCGGGCTGCTGGCTTCCGCGATTCTGACACTAGACCACTTCGGCACCCTCCACCGCTGGCGCATGATCTTCGCCATCGAGGGCATCGTGACTATTGCCCTCTCCCTCATCTCCTTCTTCACCCTCACCGACCGGCCCGAGACCGCGCGCTGGCTGACGCAGGAGGAGAAGGACCTGTGCATCGCGCGCGTCAAGTCGGAGCGCGTGGGCACCACGGAGGTCATCGACGGCATCGACAAGAAGAAGCTGCTGCGCGGCATGCTCAACCCCGTCACGCTCGAGATCTCGCTCATCTTCCTGTTCAACAACATCACCGTGCAGGGCCTGGCGTTCTTCCTGCCCACGATCGTGAGCACCATCTACCCGACCTTCTCGACTGTCCAGAAGCAGCTGTACTCCGTGCCGCCCTACGCCGTGGGCGCGTTCTTTACGCTGGCGTTTCCTGGGCTGAGTTGGTATCTGGATCGCAGGCAGGTGTTGATCGGGTTGTCGGCGCCGATGGTTATGACGGGGTATATTATGTTTTTGGCGTCGAAGGTTGCGAAGATTCGGTATGCGGCGACGTTTTTGATTGCCAGGTAAGATCCTTTCCGAAACCGAGTCTAAACGAGCCCAGTACTCATCATCTCGTAGTTCCGCCATGGTCCTAGGCCCAATGTCCAACGCGCACATCAGCGCCAACGTCCTCAGCGACACAGCCCGAAGCAGTGCCATCGGCTTGAACGTCATGTGCGGCAACATCGGCGGCATCATCTCCACATGGTCGTACCTCCCATGGGACTCACCCGACTACCACATCGGCAACGGACTCAACTTGGCCGCGGCCAGCATGATCTTCATCGTCGCTTTCACGGCGTGGTTCTGGATGAAGTGGGACAACAAGCGCCGCGAGGACCGCAGCATCGAGGAGGAGCTGGCGGGCATGTCGGAGCAGGAGATTCAGGATCTGGATTGGAAGCACCCTGCATTTAGGTGGAGGACGTGAGGTGGTTCGTGGAGGGTCGCGTGAGATGGAGTCAATCACCATAGCCTCCGAGACTAAATGAACAGCACCGTTCCAGAGCATATTATTACGTCCCCATTGTGGTGGACTTCAATCCATTTATTATAATTGAGGCATGAACGAGCTGTTTCTGCAGATATGTCCGATAACACACCGAGTCCTTCTCATCCCACCAATTAAAAATGGTTTTGGTCGAGTTTTATTCCAAAGCCCCATGGACGAGGCACCATACGTCGTTCGCTTGGGGCCTCCCAGTTTTGGTGGCATGCGACACTTCCTGAGTGGCAGTGGTGAGAGATAGCTCTGGAATTCCCTAGTGAAGGTGTTAGCTTGCTTGAGCCGTGAGATAAGCGTGATCCTCACAAATCCCTGGATATCCTCGTCGTCTGAATCTGATCCTGGCTCCTGGTCAAGCACTCTTGACTTTGATGTGTGTCCGCGACTGGTTTCCCGAGGTGTTTGTTTTGCTACGGAACTTAGCTCATCGCCCGTTTCCAGAATTCTTGTGAAGAGCATATTGCACTTTTGGCTTTTAAGGGTTAGCTCATATCGTCGCCAAAGGCAGCTTTTAGCGTTTCGCTTTGCACTCACCATTGTACCTCGAGGCCTGTATTGCATAGGGATACAGTCATGCACTTCGGACAACTTGATGACCTTTCCTGCAGGGTGACATCGTGTGCTTGCCTACACATCATGCTCATATCAATCCTCTGATACGGTAAAAATGCGCTTTCCCAGTCTACTGATCGGTCCACTTCTCGGCCCGTAGCCCGCTCTTGTAACTTATAGCGGCCCTTCCGGGTTCGATGAGAGCCCTTCTTGCCTTTGAACCGATCGTTGATGATGAACTCGAAAACTTCCCACGATGTAATCGTCCTCAAGTGGATTGGAAAGATCTTTCCCGTGGCATCCTTGAAGATAAAATGTTCATCGCTCAAAGGTCTCTCTAGTCGCACCAGGACAGCTCTGATGCGACCTAGCTCCCCTGAGACAGAAAGCACCATAGAAATAATCTGAGATGTCGAACTCTTCAAATCCATGGCTAGGTGAGACATAGACTCGAGTCTTGAGAGAACTCGCTGCCCAATCGCTGCCAAGTATTCCCTTAGTGACTGATTGGAGTTCTGGACGATGGCCATCGTGCGTTTCTCGCTGACGGACATCTGTTTGATCGTTGCGTGATGGGTTTGCCTGAAAACACTCCTAAGATAAGTCAGTATCGCCGCCGAAAAGAGCATGTATTAAAAGATTGCACCCAAGCATACAATGTCGTGAGCTCCAACAACGTATTCATCGCCGTTATGTGCCCCAAAAGTTCCCAACGAAACTTCTCAATATCCTTCTCCTCGAGCCTCCATTGGACTTTCCTGGCGGCATCTCGCAAGGTGTTCTTCGTCCCTGCCAGGCTAGGCCCGAACTTCTCGATTTTGCTGTTAAAGTCTACAAGGCATCGCTTGATCTGCTCAACATTGCGCAACGATATTGCTCGTAGCTCGCCGAAAGCACTTTGTAATTCTTGATCATGGTAAACTTGCTTGATCTGCCGAAGCGTGCTTTCGAGGATCCCAAGGCTCTGAACAACGTCTCGATATGCTTTTGTCGAACCACGAGAATCGTCGAGCGCGGCGATGATATTCTTGATAAGCTCCAAGACTGCGATGAAGTCGCCCACAGCACCGAATGCAAGCGTGAACTACATTGAGGACACCCCGACACGAAAGTGACCACTTGTTTGGGCAACGGCTTCGAATGATCGGGGCCATTTAAGCAGGCGATAGGTGAGGGTTGCGAATGTTGGTGAGAGAAATGGAAGAACCCCGCAGGGACTTGGCACAGCCACTGCGAGTTGAATGTGTGTCAGACGAGAGACGATTAGCCCGAAGAAGCACACAGGGCTAGGCGTCACGCTTTCATCACTTGTTTCCCGCCAACGGATGCTGAAGATTAATTTGTTGATGGCAAGATACAAGCCCCATAATGCACAAACAGGGCCCAAAATGACGGTATCTTCATTCATCGCACTCGGCACAGCCTCCCTAACGCCGACGCCACAGCCCGGTCATCCCATGCCGTTCCGCCTCCTAACAGCTTCGAGTAAAATATTTTGGCAACCGTTACACGCGTTTTGTCGTCGGACAGCCAAAGACGGCCCATAACGTGCGGGAACGGGCAACTTGAAACCGGCTCATCACATGAATCATCTAACCTGCCAAACCTGTCGCTCTGTTTTCTGCTGTCGAGCGGGCAGACAGGTGAGCCACAAGCGCATTGGCTAGATTCAGCTCCGACACCATGTACACCGTGAGGCGATCTTGCTCTTCTCTTTCCTGGTAAGATGAGTCCACTGCTGGAAGGGTCCCGTTGATTCGAAAATTCGTGGCATGCCAAGCGGGCGATGCTACACTTCTTCAACGTCGAAATCACCTCCAATGCAGTCGGCACGTTCAGCAGTCTCACGTGTAAATGACCCTCCGCTATGTTTTTCACATCTTTCTTCATCCATCGCCCAATAAGGCGCCATGCGCTTTCGCGCGCTTCTGCATCTTTCTGACTGTCTGCGAGAGCCTTGACAGACGGAGCATAAGAAGAAATCACCCGGCTTAGGGTATTCTCAGTCGAGCCACGGTGATGTTTGATCGCCTAAGGACCAGTATGAAGTTGCACAGGCCGGTTCCAATCCCCCAGACACCCGGTAATTCAGTTATTCGATCTTGATTGCTGTAAATCTCATCGAGAATCTTCTTCACGCAGATCTCCAATAGCCATGGCAAAATTGCACGCATTCTTTGTTTCTCTCAGCCCACTCGAACCTTGTCCCCTTCCATTGCTTCTCTAGGCATGCCCAAATGTCAGTATTTTCGACATCTGAGATGAACCGGGTTGATTGTATTGAAATTTTCAGACAACATTAAAGTAGCATCACTGTAACACTCAGCGATGTTTACGATAACGACGATGCCATCTTCAGCGCATTTCTGCATCTACGCAACAATCTAGCCAAGCGAGAAATTCCATAGCCCGGCAGTTTCCCGGTCCCCTGATAAAAAATAATTCAGTTCAGCAAGAGCTTCAAAGCGGGGTTGCTTTGCTTCGTCTGCGCCATTTTCCGACTCAAGCGACGAGGCAGGTGTGAAAAGGACTCCGCGTCGTCGAATTTAGTTTTGCGACGCCCACGATTCCCAACTGAGTTTCAATTGACGCCGCACTACCCTGGAGAAAGCTGACTGTATGAGACCTAGCTCTGAGATATGTGATACCAACAGTGACAACTGACCTGTTGGCGCGCGCCTACAAGGGGCGCGGAGATTGGGGCCCATACGAATCCGAAATGAGAATGGCGTATCTGGGACTGATCCTAGATGTGCGCGGAGCCTTGCCTGATCAAGATCGCAAGCTGTAGATATCGGCCTATCAACTCCATACTGAGTCAGTATTTCTTCGGGCCAAGGGTTAGATCGGGTCTCCTGCATTTCAGCTGTGTCAAATTGCGTGTGGTTAGGTGGTATGCATGAGCTGCGCCACACCCTTCGCAAATGAACCAACAGACTGAACCAACAAGTCCCAGTGGGCCTTGGTTACTATAATATGAGGAAGATGAAGATGCCATTTTTCGCCGGGGAAAATCTACTTCCCTTGATGACAGTCAGCTCACAGCTATTTGCAACTCGTGCAGACTCTTACAGACATGGCTCAAGTCACCCTCGATCCTGGAGCTCTCGACGAGTTGAACTCCGTCGAAACTCGCGCCTTATTCGACACTACCGACAAGCTTTCCTCTCTTGGAATTGGCAGGATTGTCAACCTCCCTCAGATAATCGTCGTTGGAGATCAGTCGTCTGGAAAGTCATCTGTTCTTGAAGCCATCTCTCATGTCAAGTTTCCCGTCAGCTCGGGCTTGTGCACGCGTTTTGCCACGGAACTAGTTCTCCGGAACGGCAGCCAACGACGCGTCAAGGCCACCATTCAGTTCCACAACGATGTTAAGCCTGCGCAGGAGATGCGAGTCGACTATTCTGAAGGAGAGGATATTGGCAAAATCGTCGCCGCCGCTAAAGAGCACATGGGCCTCACAGATTCCAACAGAGGATTTTCTAAGGACGTCCTTCGTCTGGAGGTTGAAGGCCCGAATCTGTATCCTCTCAGCCTAGTCGATCTGCCCGGAATCTTCCACACTGCGACAGCGAAGCAATCAGCGGAGGGTAGAGCAACGGTCATGGAGCTGGTAGAAAGCTACATGAAAAAGCAAAACAGCATCATCCTCGCCATCATATCAGCGAGTAATCAGCTTGCTAACCAGAGAGTCCTGGAGGAGGCCGCGAAACACGACCCCGCTAGAGAGCGTACACTTGGGGTCATTACCAAGCCAGACCTTCTCCATCCAGGATCTCCCGACGAACTCGAATATCTTCAGGTAGTCAGAGGCCGCGAGGCGGTGCACAACCTGCAATTGGGATGGCATGTGTTGCGTAACCTTCCAGACTACGCCAAATCTGAGGCGCATCCTGACTCTCGTGACGCAGTCGAAAAAGCGTTCTTCGAATCCGGGGTTTGGGCTTCCGTCCCGGTAATTCATCGGGGCATATCTGCCCTTCGGAAACGTCTCAGCCATATTCTTCACGACCATATCAAGAAAAGTCTGCCTGGTGTTCTTGAAGAGATTCAAGGGAAGCTCTCTGAGCATGAGGCTGAGCTCGCACGCTTAGGGCAGGCCAGATCCAGTGCCGCCGACATGAGGGCTTATCTCGTGGACATCGCGGGAGGGTTCGAGAGACTTGTCCGCGATGGTATTCAGGGTCATTACAATGATCCATTTTTCGGCGGCTTTGATGGTAGTGATCGAAAGTTGCGATCGCACTTAAGGAGTTTCAATCGAGCTATTCGTCACATCCTCCTTGTGCAGGGGTCATCGCAGAAGATTACCACTGGCACTCCTGGTGCGGCGAGACAAAGAAGCATTCCTCTGCATCTTCAAGAGTTCCTCAGCAAGTATCCATACGATCTTCCTATGCCAGAACCAATCACTTGGTCCGAGATGGCCACTCAACTGGAGCGGCAAGCGGCCGCAAACCAGGGCACCGAGTTTCCCGGATATGCCAGTACGAACTTGATCTTGCAGCTTTTTCAGAGACAGTCGAAGCCCTGGGAAGCCATTGCCAGGGTGCATTTGGAGAAGGTCACCGCTGTTGTGAAGGCCTTCGTGGATGAGGTGTTTGAGCACGTCGCTGGGCCCTTGGGCACCTGCAGTACCACTTCCACTATTCTGTCGACTTGCGTCGATCCTTTCTTCGATGCAAGAGAGGAAATCCTCCAGAACAAATTGCGGGAGCTTCTCCGACCTCTTCAGGAAGGGTATGCGCTACCTCTTGATGCTGACTTTCAGGAAGCTATGGACCATAGAACATCCGATCGGCTTTCAGAAGACGCGGTAGACGACTCATACGACGGTAGCTCGAGCGCCTTGCAACATTCGGAAGCAGAACTCCCACATCAATGCAATGAGTTTGGGACCGGGCGGGCCATCGAAACGATGCAGACATTCTACGACGTACGTACTCTTTTTTGTTAGTGTAATCAGTCGTAGACTTACTGATTTGGCTTAGATGGTGTTGCGCACATTCACCGATAACCTGATCAACCTGGCGTTAGAGAGTTGTCTCATACAAGAGCTTCCAGGAATTTTGACACCGAAATCTGTGAATGAAATGGATGACACGAGGTTGGCGGAGCTCGCGGCCGAGTCAGAGGACATTCGGGCGCGCCGCACACAGCTGCAAACCGATATTAAGCTGCTCAAGCAGGGCCTGGACCAGTGCCGCCGGTACAGACCCAGAGGCTTGACGGGTGAGAATAGCTCAATGCCTTCAGCACTGAAAGACCATGTCACATTAACATCTATTTCCTCAGTTCAACGCAACACCCCTTCGAAGAGTATCCAGCGAGAAACTGCTGGGGGATTGCCCACGGTCGGTAAGCAGTATCCTACTACTTCAAGATGAGAAGCTTGATGCTGAATGCCAATGATAGCTACACCTCACGGCCAACAGACGTGGCTAGGATTCATACCAAAAACAATTCCCATCGTCACAACACCCACAGAGAGGGAAAACTCAGCCCAGTCTACTCCAATTTCGAAGAAGAAGAAACAAGACCCAGTAGTCGGGTTAGGTTCCTCCGAAAGCTACGCAAAAATTGCAACGAATCCTGAGAAAGTCTCTCCGACTGAGAACAGCGGACTTTTTGGCTCCAGTTTCAGAAAGCCCGCCGGATTTAGTGACGGGTCTATCAGCGTCTTCAACCAAGTCTCAAGCCAGCCTCAATCAAAACTTGGGACAACCTTCAATTTTGAAAAGGGATTCGGAACAAAGGAAAGCATACAACCCAACACGAGCCCTTTTGGCGGGTTCAAAACGAGCAGCTCGGGTGGCTCCAATGGTTTTGCGTCTCAAAGCGGCGCCGGGACGACTTGGCTGTTTGACTCCAGCGGGAAAGACGCAGCCAAAGTTCAGGGTGAGAAAACCAGCACTCGGACTGCATGACGGTAGTTTGAAGCTTTCAATACCGGCTAACCTCCGGAAAGGCGGCGAGAAATCTACAGAAGCAACCGCCTTAATCAATAAGAACCCGGGAAGGTTCATTGCTACATGGACTGGCCATGAACAGCCTGATAGAGGGGCATTTGCCGGTCGGGAGACGCTTAGCCACATTTGCACTTCGGAAACCTTTAAGAACTTTTCTCCTGAAGAGCTTAGGCTAGGAGATTGTTGGATACTTTCGTATCCTTGGCCACGTGATGAGCGGCCGCCGCGCAGTGTATATTAGGAAATAGATGCATGGTCCATATCTATTTACTTCTATTTCATGGATTGACACGCTTGACTTCATGGGCCCAAGAGCATCTCCACCCCATCTGAACTGCTGACTCTTCAAGGAGCATCGCGACTGGAGCTACGCATCAGCTCATTCCTCTCGTGAAAATCCGTAGCAGCAAATCCTCGGACTTAATTGAACACGTGGCACAGTCAGCATAAAGGCAATGTATAATGCCTATCGCCACGAGAGCTGATTTATGCTTCAATGCAACCCTTAGGAAGATGGTAGACAGAGAGATACTGATGAAACAGCCTAGACCGAGCACGAGCTGGACATCTGCCTTTGGTGGTGAGGCAACACGAAGGCTGCAACCAAATTTGGCTACGCCTAGCGCATTACTCATCGCAAGTGCTATTTCGCAAGTGGTATGGGTTCATCTTAGCTTTTACCTCAAAAACATCCATAATGCAGCCAGCACCAATCTTCGCATTCAATTTCAGAATTCATAAGCTTATTTTCCAGACAGTCACCGCAAGCTCGATATTAAGTTGCTGATAACTGCTTACTGTCATTTTTCGTAACCCAGCACCATTTTTAATGAATCGTTCAAAAAAGCATTCACCTATCACTTGAGTCCACCGCTTGTTCTGGGGCTCGGGTCGAGGTTTCATCACCACAGCCAGGGGTTGTCATGCGCTGACTGTGCGTGTATGCATCAGACCTGCATGGAAGTTCCGGAACGTTGCATAGGTAAGCCCTTAGACTCTCAGTAAGCAGCATGTTCCGCGCCTCAGTGTGCGCATACTGGACCAAAGAATCGTTTTAACTTTGGCCGAAGTCTCGCAGCCTTGGGGCCACTCAGAGCTGCGCAATCAAAGCGGAGGGCAATGCGCAGGGCTTTGCTGCATATCGCTGAAAAAATAAGCCAAACCGTTTTATTTCCCGAGTCAGCCGGATTCCAGAACATCGTCAATCGTCGGTAACGTTTGATGAATAAGTTGAGAGGAAACGTGACGCTCACATTCGAGCGAGTCAATGCGATGCCTCCGAGGCCCTGGGTGGTCAATACCTACATATAAACAGCCTCATGCTTTCTGAGATCTTCCTCGAGTGCCCATTCTCTCATTTTGCACCCAGAGACAAGACACCGCTGTCAAGATGAAGCTGTTTCTCCCCTTACTTGTGTTCGCGGCGGCAGCCTATGCCGCAAGCCCCGAGACATTGATGGAGTTTCAAATGGATCTTCGCGACCCTTACAACCCTTTGACTCTCAGAGGCCATCCACCCGACTGTGGCGACGAAAACGAGGGTGAGAACGGCGGGCCTGTCGGCGACAACGGCGGTTCTCCCAGCCCAGGTCAGGGTTCGAGTGGTAGATACAACGTCTGCTGTCGGTACAATGGTCAACACAACAAATGCGTAAGTGAATCGATCATGATATACGCTACCCGATGGCTAACTATTGGTGCTATAGATTTGCTTGGCTCGGTGCAGGGCGGTTCGTATTTCTCAATTGACATTGTTTGAAGATCGTTTGGCTAATGTTGACCCAGGACTGCAACGCTGGCATTTGTTTGATGTAATCAAATAGCACCCAAGCACGTGCCTAGTTGATATGGATTGCATTATGTCTGATACCAAGTTGAGCGGGCGGATTCGCCGAGTGGCAAAGTTGTTGCCCCTGAAGGAACACCTACGAGGTTCCACATTCTACTCCTGCTGTACAGAAGAGCCTGTAGCATGTCGATGAGAATTGACAGTTTAATTATTCGGAGAGGGCATGTATAACATTTATACCCATTGTCAATTTGATAACATTTCATTTAATCCATTTTTACGAATGAAGTGACCATTCGATCCTAACGATTTAAGTGATAAGGCCTCAATTGCTCCAAACGTTGAGTCCTCCTAATTTGGTTCCTACTAAGTATCAATTGTAATGCACTTACAAAAGATGTATGCCGCCCTCGTGAATTGCTTTATGCATGTGACGGAGCTTAAACGTCTTGAGTGCGCAGCTCGATACCAGCCTGATGGGCTGTCTTCGTCTTGGCAAATTTCCATGCAGGAATACGACGCTCGAATAGTTCATCCAGCTCATGATATGTGCGCCCCTTGGTCTCAGGATAGAGCAGAACACAAGGAATGAGGTACACGAAGGTGACGCCTCCAAAGAAGAGGCCGATCTTTTGCTGCCAGCCAGCGTACTGATTTGACAGCATCAACGGCACAGTATAGTTCTACTCTGATTAGGCTTGAATGGGAAAGAAAACGACAAGGTGTAATGACATGACTTACAAAAATGATACCCGTGATGTACTGAACGGTTACAGCTAGTGAAGTTGTCTTCGCCCTCAACTTCGGACTTGAGACCTCCACAAGTGAGATCCATCCTAGAAATATCAGCAAATTCGTCATGGATCTCAGAATGTCAGAATAAGGAAAAGCTTACCAATTGGAGCAAGTGAGTTGGCATACAGGAACGCCCAGATACCGCATAGAGCAATCAGTACAGGACCGGACGCCGAGGTGGGTTGCATAAACCCCAGGCCGCCGACGATGAAGCAAATGACCATCATGCCGAAACCCCCTCCGAGAACCAGGGTTCGGCGACCGACCTTGTCAACCATGTAGAACGACAAGATGATCCCGACCAGAAGAATGGCGTTGATGATGATTTTGCCCAAGAAGGGATCTTCGACGTTTGCCATGGAGAAGAAATATGTTGTGTAGCCAAACATGAGAGGCACGCCAACGACATTCTGAAAGGTCAGGGGCAGGGTTGAGATGATGGCACGCTTGAGGTTGATTGGAGTCATGAGGGCTTTCCAGTCACTATCGCCACCGAGGGACTGGGAAAGGGCGATTGACTGGTCGATTTCATACCGCATAACAGCATACTCATGTTCAACGTCATAACCCTCGACGTTTCCAACAAGTCTTCGGAGAGAGTTCTTGGCTTCTTCGTGTTTTCCCTTGGAGGCATACCAGGCTGAGCCTAGTTAGCTATGGCCTAACACTGCTTTTAGGTGGCTTAAAACGTACCTGGAGACTCCGGTAAGAAAAGCATCGGCATGATCCAGAGTCCGCAGAACACAAACTCCGAGTAGAAGATGTTTCTGAAGTGCATGGGGTTGCTGTCCTCGAGGATCTTGAGTCCGATGGCAAGGAAAACCTGACCCAACGAAAAGGCGAGGGAAAAGCTGCCCAATAGCGCGCCACGGAACTGAGGCATTGCAATCTCGGACATGTATACCATGACGGAGGTGCCCATCATACCACCGGCACAGCCGGCGATCAGTCTGGCAACGAGGAGGACGATCCAATCCTTGGATATAATGGCTACTATGATGGACTTTTGTTGTTAGTCTTTGTCGGTTCTAGAGGTGTGGAGGATTATTGTTTACCAATGTCAGGAAGAACGTGACTCCCCACATGTTGAACTTGCGCCCGAAGCGATCCGCTGTGTAAGGCGCAATGAGCTGAATGGCGATGGCGGTGACAAAGAACATGGAGCTCCATAGGGAGACATGGTTTGCGTTGAGAGCCGGTTGGCCAGTCTTGGGGTCTCGAACGGTAGCGAATTGCTTGATGAAGCCTTCGTTGGCGACGATGCTTCCGACTACCGAATTGGCATAGCCCGCGTACCTGGAAGGAAGTCTCAGCGTCTGGTTTGTGAATTTATGGGGAGTAAACGAACATTCCCGCAAGCGACACAGAGAGGCCGCAGGCGTAGAGTCTCCAGAACTTCTTGATACATTTCGCCCTACCCCAGTCGGCAAATGCAGAGGTGATGGGTGTTACCTCTGCACCCTCTTTCGAGATGCCGGCTTCATGGTCCATCTCGGCTGCTTCCTCGAGATGGTCGCCATTCGGCTTCTCGGCTATAGGAGCACCGTCGCGATCTTGTGTCATTTGTTGTTGACAGAAAGCGAAGGAAGAGAGTGAATGACAATTCAAGACAGCGGCAATGAATGACCACGAATAGTGTAAGAAGAAGCACAATAAGTCAAAGCTCAGAAGAAGTAGTCGCAAGTCCCGATGTTTTGGAAAGTCCGGGGATGTGGGGTGGTTCTTTATGAAGACCAACCAACCGTGGGGAAACAGGTTTCCTGGAGCTCGTGGGACCTTCAGCGACGACGCTTATTGTTACCATAAATGGTCAACACTGACCAGAGCAGCTCTAGAATCATGTCACATTACACCCATGGATATGAGAACAGCGTGATTTCTGGGGTTCAGAAATATGTCCCGGCCTCTCGATCATGCCCGATCCCTGACACCGCAGGGCAAGCCCACCTCACTTCATCCACTTTGTTGATGATAGCTTAAGATGGTTGGCCGTTGCAACGTGAGCAGACCGGCCTTTAGCCGAACATTTCCAGAAGCCCGGCACTCGTTTCCATAGTTCAGCCGTACTTACCCCATGTGTTTGGTAAATGCAGAAGATCCTAACACTCAAGCTGTCGGTGTGGACCAAAATGGATGTTTAGCCCCGGGAAACCATCGGCCGATGACCGGCCGACCACCGGCCGATCGTTGCCCGGTCTCCGCAAAGTGCACTCTGTCGAAATCAATCCACCTGTCCGATGCACCTATAGCTCACATGACGCCTAAAAGATCATGGGTACTCAGTCCATACCCCTCACTATGACACAATGATAGTTGGTAGCTAATATTGCGCTTCGTATTTGGTGGGGCCTATGGGAGCAAGTGTGCCCATCTTGAGCCGCGGTGTATTTCAACTAAACCATCAGTCGTATAGCCTGACCCTCAAGCTCACGGCATGTTTGAAATCGCATTCTCTTCCTCGAAGGATATTCTTTCAAGACAATATGCTCAAACCACAGGCTAACGCTATTCGGGAACTAGTCTCACTTGACGGGGTCTGGAACTTCGCCTTGGAACCTTCGACACAGCCGCAGCCGAAAGCATGGGAACATGATCTAACATCTCAACTCCAACTCCCTGTACCAGCCAGTTACAACGACATCCTCATCGATCCAAAGATTCGAAACCATGTCGGATGGGTGTACTACCAACGTCACGCAACAATTCCTCGAGCGTGGTCCGGAAGGCGGTATGTTCTTCGCTTCGATGCCGCCACCCATCGGGGCCGTGTCTACGTGAACAATCAATTCATCACAGAACACATTGGTGGTTATACGCCATTTGAGGCGGATATCACCGATGTCGTGTCACCAGGGCAAGACTTTCGTTTGACTGTTGCTGTCAGCAACGAATTGGACTGGACGACGATCCCTCCAGGCAGGATTGAGATCGAGAATGGGAAGAAGAAGCAGCACTATCAACACGACTTCTTCAACTACTCTGGACTTGCTCGATCTGTGTGGCTTTACTGTGTTCCACAGGTACATATCTCTGATGTAACCGTCAAGACCGACGTAAGCGAAGGAGGAAGAGTTGGCATCGTCAACTTCGAGATCAGCACCAGCCAGCCGACATCGGACTCCAAATTCAATTTGTCCCTTACCGATGAAGACGGCAAGCTGGTTGGCGGAGCATCTGGGGCAACTGGAATGGTGGTGGTCAATTCAGTCCATCTATGGCGACCGGGAGCAGCATACCTCTACCAGCTTCGTATTCAGCTAGTCGACGATGAGGGTCATGCCAAGGACTCTTATCATCTTCCCGTTGGCATAAGATCTGTCGAAGTGAGGAATAACCGATTCTTGATCAACGACGAACCGTTTTACTTCCGTGGATTTGGAAAGCATGAGGACACCCCTATTCGAGGCAAAGGCCATGATGCCGCGTACATGATCCACGACTTCGAGCTAATGAAATGGGTCGGCGCTAACTCATTCCGCGCGTCGCACTATCCCTACGCAGAGGAAGTGATCGAATATGCGGATCGTCATGGAGTTGTCATCATCGACGAAACGGCTGCAGTTGGCTTGAACCTGGCAGTGGTTGCCGGCCTTCACGGATCGAAGCAATTACCGACATACTCCCCTGACACGGTCAGTGATGAGACGAGAAGGTCGCATGAGCAAGCTATCAGAGAACTCATTGACCGCGATAAGAACCACCCCTCTGTGGTTATGTGGGCCATTGCCAACGAGCCGGCTGCACATGAGCCTGGAGCCAGGGAGTATTTCGACCCGTTGGTCGCGCTTGCTCGTCAGCTCGACTCTCGTCCGATTTGCTATGCCAATGAATTCCAAGCAAGCGTCGACAAATGTCTCATTTCCGACCTGTTCGACGTGCTCTGTCTCAATCGCTACTACGGCTGGTACCTGCACACGGGCGACCTCGAGGCTGCTGAGACCAATCTCGAGAAGGAACTGTTGCAATGGCAAGCGAAGTTCAACAAACCCATCGTGATGTCAGAATATGGTGCCGACACTCTTGCTGGGCTACATACTGTGGGAGATGTTCCGTGGAGCGAGGAATACCAAAGCCGAGTATTGGAAATGAGCCACAGAGTCTTTGATCGGATAGACAGCGTTGTCGGTGAGCATGTGTGGAACTTTGCCGACTTTCAGACCCCGTCAACCTTCATCTTCCGCGTAGACGGGAACAAGAAGGGTGTGTTCTCGAGAGATCGGAGGCCGAAGATGGCAGCGCATGTGCTTCGAAAGCGATGGACCGGAAGTTAGCGACACACAGCGAAAGAATACTTGCCCCTGGCAAATGTTACCAAATCAATGTCTTTGCATCATCATAGGTTATGAATCATGTGTGGCCAAATTCAATTGCTATTCTGAATGGCGCGGAGAGCGTTTAAGCCTCTTACCTCGGACTAGATCTAATTGGTATTACTTGACTGACGAGGCGATTAATAAAACACGTTGTTTTCCAGTGAAGTCAAATAGCATGACCAATTTATCAGGGATACTTGCGTACAAAGTCTGAGATCTGACAAAATCCTGAGTGCGTTTCGATTCAGAATGGTGACTCGGATACTTGAGCCATCGAATCTCGGTCCTCTTCCACGCAGCATGCATGTCATTCAGCTGCATCAGACCTGCTGGCCTGGGACTTGGCGGTGTTGGTTCACACTTCGATCGAATGCGCCAATGACGAAGCAGATCAGGTTCTGCGTGTACTCTTGGAAGATCTCACTATCACCGTTTGCGATTAGTGACACAATTTGCTCGTGTTCGCGTGTGGATAACTGTTTTGATTGACCGAGCAAAAGTTCTCTGTCCTCAACGGCGGGCTTAGATATGCTGTCACTGCCCAGAATTTGGTTGTTTGCAACCTTCTCATGTTATGCAGACAGCGATTTCCGGCCTCGAGGTCAGCACTTTGGTGTACATTTACCCCTCTTGGACAAACGGCGCAAACACCCTGGTCTGTTTGCACAGCCGAGCCTAGCCCACAGGCGATGATTATGGACTGTCCGATCCCGCCGACTCGAGTCAATCTTACTCGTCAAAATCATTGTATGCATTGTAAGTGATAATATTAAAACCGCTGTAGTGAATGAATTTGTTATTTCGTGGCGCCATTATTGCCACGAGGCGCCCATCTCGAACCCACGAGAAGAGGCTTTCGCATGATCCTTCAATGTTGATACGTCAAATGAGCCTGCGATAAGTAGCATCACCCATGAGTCCTGATGATTCGTTCGCATGCTCAATCCAGATCGTCTTTCAAATGCGAGTCCAAGCCCTGAACTCTCCCCCTCGGCGAATCCCACGTGGCGTCGTCAATTACACCTTCTCAGCTTTCGCCATGGGGTCGAGTCTTGTTTGACTGTTTGCTTTTCGTTTACAGACCATCCGTGCCCCCCATACGTCCGTAACCACGCAAGCATGCAGGTTCCAACAGGCAGCACTCCACAGCACGGATTGCCGTCAGGCCTCTAATCTGCCAGCCCAGTTCCCGATTGCAACGCTTCTCTGCTTGTGCCCACCTCTTTCCACGTTGTTTGACGGAATACCCCGACGATCTGGGCTCTAATCAGCCACCAGCCTGTCAACCGAGATTCTGGGCAGATGCACCCGGTCGTTTGGCTCACTTACCAAGTAATTTGCTCCCGCGCTTTGGGGCGTTCTGATTGCCCCCTTCCTCAACGTACATCTAGGCCACGGGCAGCTGAATGAATGGGTCAGCATGCATATCCGCCTCAAAGGGAACTCCATTGTTCGTCCAGCGTCATGGTCGAGATGGGTGCGGGTGACCACATAACAAAATGGTGATGGTCGTCCTGCCAGAGACACCTGGCGGTGTTCCAATTTTCAACTCGCTTTCTGCGCCTTCGCCAACACCTTGGCCTTCATCGGTTCCAAATTTCATTCCATTGTTTGTGCGACTGATCTTGCATATCGACACTCAGGTGGCAGTTTCTTCTCACCGCCAGTCGCGCCTGGCGCTCAACACAACAAGCCAGCCACCTCTGCATAACACCTCTAGACGATGTCGGTCAAGGGGTCTGAGGCATGGAGGGCCGAGGACAAAGGGCCAGAGATGCTATGGATCTGTTGGACGATGGCTGGGTTGACAACAGTTTTCGTCGTGGCGCGAGTCTGGTGTAGGCGGAGGATCGGGAGGACGTTCTACAGCGATGACTACTGCTGTATCCTGTCATTGGTATGTGCATCTATCGGGAGCTTGGGTCCACATGTGGTCTCTCCTTCAAGGATGCCGAGAGTGTCTTCGCACTAACACTGGTTCATCATAGGCTTGCATACTTGCGTCTTGTGCAGCTGCCACCGGTGCCATCAGCTATGGCTATGGCAGGCATAAGGACGTACTCACATATGAGCAGAAGAAGGGTGCCATCTTCTGGTCACATGTGGGGTTTGCTCCGGGAATCATGTCTTTTGCGATTCCGAAACTCGCGGTTGTCTCATTGTTAACGCGGTTAATGAATCCAAGGCGATATCATCTGTGGTTCCTCTGGGGTATCACAATCCTGTGTTTACTTACACACATCGTTGTCCCCGGCTTACATTTCGGTCGCTGCGTTCCCGTCGCTTCAATCTGGGACGAGCATGTTCCCGGGCGTTGCTTCAACGCAAACATCACTGTCGATTACAGTATCTACGGAGGAGGTAATCTAAGACTACGTGAACCTTCAGTCATGGGAATCTTGGCTAACATCCCTGCGTAGTACTGTCAGCATTTGTAGATGTCTACCTAGCGTTGTATCCAACAGTGGTGCTATTCAAACTACAAATGGCAATGAAGAGAAAAATTGCCTTGTCTTGTGCACTTGGAGTCGGTGCTGTGTATGGAACTCCCATGAAGACTGCCCAGTGTTTCGTGAGGTTTGACTAACACTGATTCAGTGGTGGTGCTGTGGCAATTGTCAAGTCCATACGTCTGCCACAACTCAGGGAAGACGACTTCACCTGTATGACCCCACCCTCCTTGAAATGCCATGGAAGGTACTGACACGCGACCCAGATCTCACCTCTGACCTTCAAATACGAACTGTGTGAGCATTATTCCAATTTCTCGGCTGGTCGGCTCCGAGATGTAGTTGATTCTTTGCGTCGATCATACGGAACTGACTAGAGTTTGCAGGGTCGAAGGCAGCACGATCACCATTGCGAGCACCATCCCTGTCCTCCAGCCCTTGCTCGAATTGATCCTGCGACGCAACCCCTTCAGCACCGCCAAAAATACGACCGAAGAGACGCCAAAGTTCTACGAGGACTACGCTTCTCAGAGGGAGTCTCGAGGAGGAAGCAAGATCGAGCTTGGACAGCGCAAGCCCAGGCCGAAACCTAGGGACGACTTAGGCTTCACAATCATGGAGGATGACAGCCAGGAGAACATTCTACCCGAGTGCAAGAGGCCAGTCCCGGCGTTCATGTCAGACAGGCACGAGACGACTCCGCCTCAGTCTGCGGATGGTGGCATCGTCCGAACCGACGTTGTCTGCGTCTCGTTCGAGGATAGGGGTCCACTTGGAGAGAAGCTAGCTTCAAGTAAATGGGACATTGTTTGAGGCTTTGGGTATTTGATTTTGGATTGCAAGGCTCGATTGGGCTACAGAGGGTGCGTCTTCTTTTGTTCTGAATATAGTTTACTACCCCTCTTCGGCCGACGGAGATTATCCTCTCTAGGTGGGGTTCTGTCGGTTGCGTCTCCGGATCAGCATCGTCTAACGCTGATCTTTGTAAATACATGTTAGGCGAGTTTGATGTGCCCGCATCTCGCGTGAGGATGAAGTCTTTTGCGGACTGAATCGAAAACTATTTTGTCACCATACATGCCACTGGAGCTGTGCGTCATACAGAGAGTTCCCTCAAATTGTAATATTTTATTTGAATAATATTTCAGGAGGGAAGCCCAGATCCTCAGCCCCGACGAGAATGGAACTAATAGTAGTCGGATGTCTGGTGGTATTCAAGTAGCCTAATTGGTACTCCTGCCGGCTGAATCCCGTCGAGGATCAACATCGTCAAGTCCCAGCCGCCCCAGCTCCGGTTCTTTCATTGAATTAAAAAGAAGATATGGACCAAACCGCTGAACGCCGTTGTCCGAAACCCATCCCAAGCACCGTCGCTTATCATCATAATGACCGCTTTGATATGTCATTCTCTAGCAGCCAGTGAGCGCCTAGAGGATGTTAGTAACTATGTCATGGAGCTTCTTGAGTGATCGTCACGTACAGCTTGCTGGTTCTTCATGTTTTGTTGGATACCTCCAGAGAAGTCCATCTGGAGTGACTGAGTAACCGGGTTGTCCTGCTGAGGGTTGCCAGTAAGGCCAGCAACCTTCTGGAGCTCAGAGAGCTGGGCATTCGCAACCTATTGGGCTGTTAGTTCTCATACTCGATTTTACATCGTTTCTAATCGTCACGTACAACTGCGAGGCCCTGCGCGGCACCGTTACCGGAGGGGGCAATGAGCTGGTTGGCCTGGCGGACCTGGATGCCGTCGCTGACGAAGGACAGCAAATTGGACTTGGCAACCTGGAATTGCTGCATGTTGACGGGGTTGGCCTGAAGAGATTGCATCACGGCCGCGAGACCGGCCTGCTCCTGTTGCTGGATCTGGATGTTCAGAGCAATTCCGCCGGCCAGAATCTTCGCCTCGGCGCAAGCGGGGGTGTCATTCGGGGCCGGGGCCGGGGGCGGCTGGGGAGCCTGGCAGGCGGCCAAGGTGGCGAGGGAAAGGATGACAGCGTAGGCCTTCATTTTTGCGGTTTGCTTTTGTTTACTGATTATTGGTAAAGATTGAATAGTTGATTAACGTATGAAGGACCTGCCCGGGGCTGGTTGAGTAATGACCGTTGCTGCTGCTTGACGACGATGCCGAATCCAGATTCAGTACCGACCAGAAGAAAACGGGGAAAAGAGGGTTGGGTCAACTGGTCTTATAAGTAAGTTGCAACGACGGGACGGCATTCAGTCCAACGCCGGCACGGTTCACGAAGCAATCATGAGATGATGCCGCGGGTGGGGGAGCCATTGGCGGCAGCGCAGAAGACAGGGCGGGCCAGCGAAGGAGGTTGAAACTTCCGGATGATAGACTTTCTGTAGTGTTTTGGTGCGGTCGCCGAGTCACTGTGCTGCTTGTTTCGAACCTTGAATACCATTGGGACGAAGGAAGGATTTCCCTGATTGTCCAGTCGCACAGACGGTGCATTGAGATGCAGGGTATCAGAGTAGCCACACAGCCCACGAATCACATCCCCTGGTGGCAGGGCGCCGGTCCAGATTTCACCTGCCCTTCTCCCCCTCTGCCGACTCGTGGCCGGCTTCATAAGGCAGGACGAGTCCGAACTTGCGGAGCGGATTGGTGTTGGTTGGCACCTTCACAGGGGGGCCGCCGGCGGTCCCCGACCAGACGTCACAACTTTACGTCTCGGCCTTCGAACTTAGATTGGAATGGTGCCCTTCCTTCCCGCTTTCTTCTGGCCCAATCTCGTCCCTCTTCTCCTGGAAATTCAGGGGGAATGGTGAGTCTTGCCGACTGCCAACATGGCTACATCCATGACTCGTCTGAAGGATGTTTCCGCTGCCCACACCCATCAATGCTGAAAAGAGTACTTTCTCCGAGAAGCTTAATGACAGCGCCGTCGCTACAATAGGCTAAGCTTTTGGTTAGTCATCTCCCGTTCTTGGGTGATGCTACTACAAGCAGCCTCTAGCAGGCCAAAGGTGGCCCAATCTAAGCCAAAAGGAACGGATGGCAGTTCAAACACCCGTCCTCAAAACCTGCAAGTTGACAACTTAATTGCTTGTTTGTCTGTCCGGGTCTCTCCCTTCTTCTCTGAATTGAAGGAAAGCGCAGTTTCATATGGCCCGTAGCGAAATTGACTGTCTGGTGCTCTGGCCCCAATGGTCAACCAGGCCAGCCGCTGACAGAGGCCCGGCCTCTTGCCAGACTCTTAACAGAGTGTCATATAATTTCCTTGGCAGTTTGATAGGGCTGCACATGAGCGGCCTGGATCTCGGTCACCCTTCCCTCCGATCCCTTCCCACGTTGTGGAAGCTGCGGGAGGCGTTCGCTCACCCGCTAAAAAATGTTTCCTCGGATCTACAGAAACTCTCCCTCTGGCTGTCCCAGATGTTTGGCTCTCACTGATCAGACTGAGCGCCACCATCTTCGCGGAGAATAACACTACTCCGTCGCCAACGGATGTCCATGTGCGCCACCACGCTTGCATGCAATCGAGCCCACCACCTTCGATTCTAAGAATCTGTCATGTGCACACTGCATTGTAGAATAGGCGAGGTGATCATACCAACTAAGAAAGATGTTATGAGTGTCAGCCCCAACCACGAGCCTCATCCCGGAAACGCTCATGGTAATAAGCCAGCCCGTGTTTTGACCAGTACCACACGACACCACACCACATTCATCTTCTCATGCAAATCAAGGCTCTTGTGTCTTCAATCTTGAAACCCTTGCTGGGATTTTCATACCCAATATGATGGGCGAACACTCCTCTCGGCGCGCTCTTGGCAAAAGGCCGATCCCGAGACGTGCAACGGTGCAATGGTGGTCGCGTTCCACAAGAATCGCCGATGGTAGGCTGCATGACTTATCGACAGATACGACAAGCGCGTTATCTTAAATATTGTATGCTATATAGCCCCAGATAACAGCATCTTGAATCAGCTAAGCCATGCTGTGGAGACCAAAAAAAACTGCCCTGCGGAATGAGCCATCCCGGAGGATCATGACAGAAACGCGATTGAGAAACAATTGCTTTTACTACCTGTCACCTGCAGAAGCTATGATCACAAGCCGGGCAGAAACTATCTTCCCGCAACTGTAGTTCAAACGCATTTTGAGTGATTTGCAAACACACTTTGAGTGCTTCTCGTTCACCGGCATCCCGCATTGGAAGACAAGCGAGACCGCAGGAAGCGATTGCCTCAAGATCAGGGCGCTGAGCTAGAGGATAAACTCAAGCTTGTGGGGATCCGCGCCTATGACGGTTAGGCGATGGGTTGAGATGGTGTGCAGCAACATGCCACTTTTTGACTGGACTTCTCCGCCTTGAATTTCCGTCCGAAGTCTGCATAAGGGGCAGGGTCGCAGTCGCGAGGTGTCTCGAATGTGAAGTATCCAGTCGCGCTGCGTCTCGCCCGCCAGTGGGGTTTCTGTCAACCATAAGCCAGACAAGCAATGCCCAGAGTCAGTCAGGCCCAAGGGGCAGCGATCCTCACTGTCGTAGTCAGGGGTAAACCCAAAGACCCCAGCTGTAAGGCGTTTTCCCCTGCGCTAGTACCAATGAGTTTGTCGGAGAAATAATAATCGAACCCAACGGAAATCCCACGATGCCCAGCTTCCTCAGGCCGTTAGTGAGTTTTCCGGATCGACGGCTTCCATCTGAAATCTGACCTCTCCTAGCGCCACAAAGGTCTAATTGTAGAATAGGCTTCTGTGAACAGCCCGCCAGCTGAGAATTTCCCACATGCCGAACATTTAGAGTCTGCAACGACTTTTTTGGACGATAAAGGCAACGGCGGGAGACGATAGAGACGAAAAAGGTCGGCCAGGACCGCGGCATAAACATAGGTGGGAGGATGATGGGATCAATCATCGAGTGATAGAATCTGAGTTATCGCTACTGTTCACGAGTAAGGCAATCGCACGAGATATCTCCGCGAAACGACCGTGCCCGAGTCGCTTGCGCCCTCGGGGCGCTTCGGATCCGTGTTGAGCTCTCGCGGAGACCTCGCGGAGTTCGGATATCCCTGTCTGTTCTTGTCACCGCGTGCCCGGGCGCAACAGGGATCAGCTTCCTTAATTAGCCCGCGCGCGCGACGGCCGGGCTGGCCTTGGGCAAAAGTGCGGCCTCGATTAATATGGCCTGTCAACTCGTGTAGGGAGCTCATTAGAGGGACGGCCCATTGGAGATTCAATGCCGTTGAACTGGATGTTTCTTTCGTAAAGTCAATTTTGATTCCACGTGTGACGAGATAGGCGACCCTTGGAGCTAGCCGGAGCTAACCTTACGGAAACGCAGATTCACCCAAGAGCTGTTGAATTGCTGGTAATTAACTGCCAAGGCTCGGATTCGCTGTTGGCGACCAAACACCTTGGCACGAATGCGACATCCAATCTCAGAATCGCCCGGCTGGCTAGGGTTTCCGAGGGTCCGTTTTTCCCTGCCGATGACCCCGCGCAAAGGGCGCCGACACGCGTCGGCTCTCGTTGCACAATGACGCTATTCACATTACCGCCTGCCTGTTCGAAATCTTGGCGAGAGCGAAAGCGGTTAGCCGAGTGAGACCTCAACGCGTCGCCTTCGCCAACACAAGCGAGCTTGGCAAAGCAAAAAGCACATATCACGCGAGATGGAAGAAATGTTTCAATCCTCAAGGTTGTCGGACCGTCCGAGAAACGATGTATTGGCTATCTCTTTTTCCGCTCTGCGCTACACAAGTCGCTGGGGCGTTCAGTGAACCCGCGTTAAAAGTTCAAAACCCAGGACTAGACTGGACACGAGAATCTTTCGTCGAATCGTCATTTGAGGGTGATCAAACGCAGCCAGAACAACACAGGTTTTTGACCGAGAAGACCAAAAGTAAGGCAACAACCAAATGATAGTCCAAATGAAAACGACTCTAACACGACCAGAGTTTACTGTTGACGGAAAGACCCTCCCAAACGTCCACTTTGATGCTGGGGAGTCTTATGCGGGCCTGCTTCCAGTGAACTCTTCCGTGGCCAAGGATGACTTGCAAGAGCTATACTTCTGGTTCTTCCCCTCAAAAGAGCCACAGGCTGAAAAAGAGATCGTCATTTGGCTCACTGGTGGTGTAAGTCTTCTTTCGGTTTCCATGCACATTGGTGGTGTTGAGGACGAAAGGCTAATCAAGATGCAGCCTGGTTGCTCGTCCATAGGTGAACTTCTTCAAGAGAATGGACCCATATCGTGGAAGCCTGGAGCCTTCGGGCCTGTGCAAAACCCCTGGAGTTGGCACCGCCTGAGCAATGTTGTGTGGATTGAACAACCCGTGGGAACAGGCTTCTCTCAGGGTCCGGTAACGGCTACAGACGAAAGAGATGTCGCAAGACAGTTCATGGGATTCTGGAAAGCCTTTGTTGACACGTTCGACTTGCATGGCTACAAAGTCTTTGTTACTGGGTCTTCCTATAGCGGCCTGTTCTCTCCGTACATCTCGAGTGCCATGTTTGATGCAGAGGATACGGATTATTTCAACGTCAAGGGCATGATGATCTTTGATCCTTCGATATCGCAACGGAGCATTGGTCAGCAATTTGGAGTGACCAAGACTCTCGAATACTGGGGTCCTGTCTTCACGCTGAACGACACAGCCAGGGCGAAAGTCAATGAAATCGATCAAAGATGTGGCTATAGCGAGTATGTGGACAAATATTTGACTTTCCCACCGTCAGGAACTCAGCCAGTCGACGTCCCGAGAGCTTGGAACCCAGATAACGAGTACATTCCAAAGTGTGACATCCTGTCATTTGTCGCCGAAGCAGAGAGAGTTGCGAATCCCTGCTTCAGTCTCTACAATGTCCTTCAGACCTGCCCGCTTACGTACGACCCCATCGGCTTTACCGACAACAGGCTCCGTCATCCGTCAGCTGGTCCGGTTTACTTTGACCGAGAAGACGTCAAAGTCGCCATCAATGCTCCTGTTGACAAGGAGTGGCGATTTTGCAGCAGAGAGCCCGTCTTTGTAGATGACATCGACAACTCCAACAACCCAGGTCCTGGAAGTTTGCCTGTTATCCCAGGCATTATCGAGAGAACTAAAAACGTCATCATCGGGCACGGATTGCAAGACTTCATCTTGCAGAGCACTGGCACCTTGCTTGGTATCCAGAACATGACATGGGGAGGGATACAGGGGTTCCAAGTGCGACCTGAGAATACACTGAACATACCGCTTCACCCAGATAAGGAAGCTTTTGGTGGCAGTGGTGAGCTTGGGGTATGGCATTCAGAGAGAGGTCTCACGTATTTCGAGACCCCGATGTCTGGCCACTTCGTTGGTCGTGATGCACCATTTATCTCGTTTCGAGCACTAGAGGTACTATTGGGACGAGTGGAGGACTTTGGGTCAACAGCCCCATTTACGACGGACTACAAGGTGGACGCCCGGAGCGAAGAGCTCTGAGATACGACTCTGTCAACAATATTAATAGCGACTGATTGCTGCACTGAGAACGAGACAAGACCTTGCGATTAGCCTGATACAAATATTCACAGAAACCGCCTAATCCTTTGGTGGCTGCAGCTACATTTTCTCTCTCTGCACTTAACTTCTTCATTCGACGATGATGTTCATTCGACGATGAGAGTAATGGAGATGACGATGGTGTTGATAATTACAGTCACCTTATACTATCAATAGACGTAACGATGACGACAGCAATAATAGTATTTGGTATAAACCCATGGGAAAGTGGGTGGCCTCTATCAATCCCCTCTTTCTAATATGCATACATAACCATGAAACAGATATCCTGACGCCATCCCATGCCATTTGACGTGAAACAATTGAAGCAAAACTCAAACTGACGCACTTTCCTACAGTTATTTCAACCCCAGTCCTCTCGGATCAAGCACTAACTGCCCACGCTCGCAGCCCCGCAACCTCGCCCGCTGTGCATGGCTTGTTATCGTACAGAACGCGATGCTTTGGAATCTTGTTGTCCTTGGTCGGGATCTGAAGAACAATGCTTTCCGTTGCGCCAGGGAAAATGGAGCCGTGCCCTTCTTCGGTGAGGTCCGCGGTATCAGTGGCGAAGAACAAGCCAAACTCTCCACCCTTCGTGGTCAATGTAGTGGAGCTGTTGTCTGGCAACGTGATGACACCAAGGCCTCCAACCAAAACCACCCACCTAAGCTGTGTTAGCGTATCAGAATGTCTTTTTTTTCGTCCGGGGAAACGTACTGGTTGGTGGGCGCAGGGTGGAAACCACTGTCGAAACCGGCCGGGACAACATTGTACGACATCTTTGAGACATCTCCGAGAATGGTTGTTCGGGTGTCAACGAGTCCAGATTGAGTTGAGGAGCGGAAAGGTTCGTCCAACTCCCAGCATTCGAATCGCGAGGCATTGTTGTACGTGCCAATAGCGGTGACGTTCAATTTGATGTCCATCGCAGTGGTTGAGGCAGCAAGGATGGCCAGCAGCCAAACTGGCATTAAAGAAAGCATATTCGGGATGGCTTAAGTAATTACAGAACGTTTGAATGTATCGTTAAGATGTTGAGTATGGTAATGATTTGATTGAAGAGGTCTGGCCGGAAGGGCCTTTATAGTTCTCAAAGCAGTTCAGATGCCTTCAATGCCCTCTTGGTGACCCAGTCGTCCTTGGTATATCTGTTCTTAGCCGTTTCTGAAGTCAAAATGGTGTATCGATTCCTCAGCCTCATTTTCAGAACCTATTAATCTCACCTTCTTCCCCGAAAGTGGACATTTTTCGAAGGCCCCCATGTTGTGGATTTAGTTGTTTGGGGGTGTCGAGTCTCAGCCAGGCAGTGAGCATACTGTCGGGCGAAAGAAGTGATGAGTTTGGTGGCGTAAACGACTTCATCTTAGCTTGACCAACCCTTTTCATAAGCTGCGCCACTGGCATGAGACCTTATAGGGCTACAGGTTGGGTTGCATGCGAAGGCTGAGAGCGGAGTTGGGTCCGGACCCCAGGGCTCAATTTAGAAATCACGTCAGCCAACCAACGGTCTCCAAAGCTGGGCGGACTGCGCGTGACATTGTCAGATGCTTGGAAGCTCCGATGTGATAGGAATTAACCCAAAAGGGTAATGATTGCTTGTTGCTGAAGAAGGTCGAAAGAAGATAGAAATTGTGATAAATCCGGTTAAATTGGGGGCCATGATTCGCCCGAAATCAAGGAAATGTCAGATAAATATGCCCTAATGAGTGCGCAGTGCAACTTGAATAACAAAGCAGTCAGGGTTCATTGTATGGGCTCTTTTCATACAAGGGGATATGAACTTTTAGATCTCGCGTACCCCCAGATGCTTACAAGCAACTCGGTAGATGCTCATTTCGGCCTACAAGGTAGGGTTGCCAGCCAAACAGCGTACTACCATGGCGGACTTATCTTTTGAACTTCCTTGAAATTCATGGAAAGGGAACAGAAAGCCCTCAGCCAACAAAGTATTCGCAAGTCTCCAGTGGAGGTTTAGTCAATGCTATCTTATTGCCAAATACCGATCAGAATTTACGTTACCCGGTCCGCGAACCACAAGAGCCACCGGAGAATGTCGTGGAGGTACTACTAGTGACTGAGAGATGAACCACATGGCATTTTGGACGTCCAATGATTGATGGACAAATTTGAAAAGAACTGTTCGTTCCCTATAGTTGTGAATGATTGAGAACAAAGAAAATCTGCATCGTCAATTTTGAGTGGCCGAGTCGACGGATGATGGGTGCGCCACCGTAACACAGGTTCGGAGTTTATCCCGGTTCCCCGAAAGTGGGTTTTTTACCCCACCCCTCGGTGAAGAATCGTCTGTTTCGCCCCTCGACCCATCGCAACTCACAATACAAGTTGACGATGCCGCAACATACGCGAAGTCGAACAGGTTGTTTGACCTGCCGGTAAATGAAATGTGATCGACTTCTGATCTTCTAGGCTGACTGAATTTCAGGGACGATGGCTACAAGTGCGATGAGGCAAAGCCGAATTGCGGCCGGTGTGTTCGGCTCGGCAAGGTCTGTAAGGGATATGGCCTCAGGGTAAGATGGAAGGCTGCCGATGTATCGACGATTCCCTCCAAGGTCACGAAGCGAAGAAGTCCCAAGTCGAAAGGGTCTATATCATCTAAGAAAGGCGCTTCTGAGCCAGCATCTCCCGAACAGACCGGGACGGTGTTACCAGGTTTTGCCTCATCTTCAACTGCACCATCAACTGAAACAAGCCTCGTTCAAAACCCATCCTACATCCCGTCAGATATCTCCTCAACGAATCGATTCTTACTACATCACTGGAACTCATCTCTGGCGAGCGTGGTCTCCATGGCCTCTGGCAGACAGAACCCATTCCTCATTCACCTGACGCCCATGATGCTGTGCTCGCCGGCCCTCCTGTTCTCCATCTCCTCCATGGCCGCAGGGCACCTCGCAGTACTCCGAAAAGACGAAACTTTACGAACAATGGCATCGAGACACATGCTCATGGCGGTATCATCACTTCGAGAGTCCATTCAGACAGAGAACCCGGAGCTCTCCCTCGCCACGATCATGATGCTCCAGATCTCCGATAGACTTTTCAACACGGACAGCCAAATCGATCACCTCGCTGGCGCCAAAGCAGTGATCATGCATTCGGGAGGACCTGGGAACTGGACCAGTTCTAGTGCGCAGTTTCTTCTAAGCCTCTGCTTTTACCATGACGTCATGTCATCAATCTCCCGCACAGCGAAGCCGCTCTTGAGCATGACGAATGTGGCCCCATTGGAGGGCTTGCACAGCCTAGAGAAGCTTACATCACTTCTCTCTATCGTTGGCACAATCAGCAAAATGCAGGGGCAGTCGGGTGAAGCACACCAGCGGCGCGGCTTCAATATCAGGAAGAACTTGCTGTCCATGGACTCGTCCACAGATGGGGACCAGGACATCGAGAACACAATCCAGGCATACAGGCATGCGGCTATTGTCTATCTCTATCGAGTCTGGGACGATGGCACAGAGCCGCCAAAGCCATTTCATGCAGAGCAATGCATTCATCATCTGCTCAAGGTCCCAATTACATCTTCGTTCTGCTCTGCACACGCCTGGCCTCTCTGGACCGCGGGATGCGAGTCGATCGATCCTCAGAACCGACAGCTCGTTCTCGGAAGAATCAAAGAAATGTACGAAAGCAGACGACTGCCGTCCCTGGCGCGTGTTCAACAAGACATGGAAGAGGTTTGGGTCGCGAAGGACGCCCAGCGGTTACAGTTTGGAACGGAAAATGTGGATTGCTGCAAGATGATTTTGGACAACCGTCACCGAGAGGCGGACTTGGTCTGATTCTATCGCTACGAAATCCCTTCGTCGCTGTTCTCTCACTCTATGCAATTACCGTCTCTTGGGAGTAGCCGATGACTGCCCAAGACCAAGGCAAGAAGCAATCTTGAAGAAGACATCCGTGTTGTCATACACGCCCGCAAATGTCTGTTGGCAGGGACCCATCGCGAAGAGTGGCACATCCGTAATTGAGTGGACGCCTGACGACGAAGATACCGGCAACGTTCCCTGAACAAAGAAGCCACCCTCACCATCCTCTGGGTTAGCCACATATCCATCATCTCCGCTGACGACCACCTTACGAGGCGACTCGTGCAGCTGGTAGTTCTCCCTCCGATCGGGGCTTGCTCCGAAACCGGGCGCAATGGCATAACGAGGGCTCCAATTTAAAGGGAAGTTGGGTCCGGTGCCATACTCAATGCCATCAGGTCTTTCAACAGTGTAGTGAGACAGACCGGAACGCTCATAGATGCCGATCGCGTCACGCTTCTTGCGATCAGTATCTTGGGCAGCGAGATACTTTGTGTCTGCGACGCCAAAAACGTCGAAACCATGGCCGTGGTCTGCGGTGACGACGATGAGGGTCTCCTCCAGCTCGCCGACCTCCTTCAGCTTCTTTACGGTCGCACGAATGGCATCGTCGAATTCGAGGAGATCTCCGAGGGCCCTGTCATAGTCGAGAGCGTGCATCTGCTTGTCAATCGACGCACCTTCGGACATGAGGAAGAAGCCGGTGTCGTTGCTGCGCTCGAGCAGGATGTCGAGTGCCTTCAAAGTCATGTCCTTCAACCCGGGGAGGTCGAGCGGCGCGGACCCGTCTCCGGAGGGGTGGGTCTCCAGTTCAGCAATGTTGTCGGTCAAGATGTTTCTGTCAAGCCACACGGGCAAGTGGGAGAGGGAAAATACGCCCAATGCAGGGGTGTCGATCGGTGCTTTCTTGAGTGATGTCGCGTTCCAGCTGACTGAGTATCCCTGGTTACGGAACTCTTCATAGTAATCCTTGCCCAGGTATGAGGAGGATCCTGGGAGGAAGGTGGAGGCACCGCCGCCAAAGTAGACGTCTGGTCCGGGATGGGTGCTCCAGGAATAGTTCGTCATGCCGTTCAGAGCTTGGTCGATGAGAGATCCGGCGTTGGAGCGGGATCGGCTGTGGCCAGTGAGAGCAGCCGGGGTTGCGTCGTCGAGGGCGGCAGTTGTCACTGCACCCCATGCGGATCCCTATCGGATGGTCAGAGATATTTCAGCCTTGCTTTTCGTAGTTTTCTTACCCAGATTCTTGTCACCATTTCCACAATGGTTTCAACCTTGGGGTCGTCGAAGTCATCGTCGGATGAGTCAGAGTACACACTAGGCATGTTAGCTACCAAGGCACAAATATCGCCAATTGAGCTGTCTTACCCCATAGAGTCTGATGTTCCCTTGTGGCCGGAGTACAGCGCGGAAGCAGAGTTTGCGCTGTCTGTGACGAAGCTGTCGACCGAGTGAGTCTGTGCAACGTCAGCCTTAATCCTCAAACTACTGCCCTCTCGCTTGATACAACTCACCATCTGATGACCAAGGATCGGGAATTCGTCCATCTGCATCCTCGACTGATACTTCCCGTTCACACTCTTGTGACCCAGCAGCCTCGCGGCTGTAATCATGTTCGTCGTCATACCATCTCCAATGAACAAAATCACATTCTTAGCCTTCTTCTCCTCGGCGAGCGGCCGCACGAACCACTCCGCCAACGTCTTCTTCGTGCCATTGTAGTAGCTCAACTCGACCGTGTAGTTGCCTGGCTCATACAGCGACAAGTGACGGTACGCCTTCGACGCGACGTTGACAACAGACTTCTCCCCCGCATCCTGGGCAAACAGGTCCTCGTACCACGAGAACGTCCACGTCTCCAGCTGCGGCTCGTCGAGCGCGAAGAACTCCGTCACCGGCACGCCGTCGGGCTTGCTGTTGCTCGCGATCGTGAGCGTAAACTCCGTGTCCGGGACGCCGTCGTTGAAGGCCTCGGTGCCGTTGACGGGCGCGTGGACCTCGACGCGGATGTCAAAGTTCTGGCCGGGGAGGAAGTTGGCTTGGTCTGGCGGGAAGACGCAGCCGAGGTCGGGGCAGGCGCCGAGACGTTGGAA